TCAATTTACTCTAATTTTCAAGTACAACATGTCATCCTATAAATAAATAATATTTTTAATTTGTTATGGTAATAGCAGCACTGTTTTTCCAAAATTTTGTTTCACCTCTTTTCCAATAACAATAGCAAGTATTAAGTAGTTCATATTTAAATTTAAAATCTTATAAGTGCTTTTAACCAGAGGTTTGCTAAGAATGCTTACCTTACATACTATAAATTCCATAGAAGTTTGCTACTTGCTAGTAAAATCCCAACAACTTGGTTTCACATTTCCATGGCCCTCAGACAATTAACATATTCGTAACATTGGTGAAGACAAAATCTGCATAAAGAAATGAGCTATGTACTAGCAATGCAGATTTCATTCAATATCAATTATTTTTACAGCCTGTAGTTAGTGCTGTCTCTATTTCAGAAGTATGTATGCTTTTGATTTGGGCAAAATGATGAATTTTTCTTGCTTTCTCACAAAGTGACTGTGAGAGTTACTGTGAAGTTTTAAGACCTTGTATTCTTGTAATTTCACCCTTTCCAAGTGTGTGGGAAAATAAACTTGTCTTTTCTACCTGCTCTGTATCTTCGCAGAATTTGGCTGCCATTACTTTTGAATGCTTTCAGCTCAAGAGGTATATGAGAAAGGCCTAATTTCAAAAAAATCAAATATATTGGTAAAAACAAAGCAGCACAGGAGCCTCACAAGCAGGCAAATCCAGAACACTAAAATAAATCCACAGATGATGATGACTAACACTGATGTCTGATGGCTAGCCAAAGTAACTGGCAGTTAAAGTTCATTTCCAAATGAGTTTGCTTTACTATTATGGAAATGATCATGAGATGCATTCTTTTGTAGGCAACATATTTTATGTTCAAGAATTGAATCAACATCAGACACACTTTGCATCTGAACAGTGATAGCTGGGCTATTGTGGCACAGTAAGAAAATGTTATTCTACAAATGGAAAACTTCAACTGCTCTCTACCCATTTCATCAATTTATCAAGTTGTAAGAATGAGGGTTGGGGAAGTTTTGTTGTTGGTTGAAATTTTTTTCAGGGATAGAGTTTAACTAAAGCATTTTTGGAGGCTTTTTTATTAGGTTTGATTTAGTTCTAGCTTTTTTGACGTATGCAAGATTTATAAACTGATGAGGCTTTTTTGAAAATTTGCTAATGATACTCATTTTTCATTCAATACCTAAAGCCTTTGAACCTAGAGAGGAATATTCCACTGGCTCAGAGGCCTTTAGACCAAACCCACATTGCATACCATTTTTTAAAAAGATTCAGTTATTATTTATGTACCTGGAGCAGCAGAGTTGTATTGTAAGTAAGGTGGAAGAAAGTATTCTGAGTAATTAGTTCTAGTATTTTATAACTGCTCCTGCTGAGAAGCAGCAGAAACTGGGACAAACCTTCAAACTCCTGCATATGATTTTTCTGAACAGGTACAAGTTTGCAGTGTTATTTGCTCCTGAAATGTTGAAAATGTTCTACTACATTTTCCTTGCTGTGTTTCCAGCAAATAGACTATTTCTAGAGCAATACTGCTATGTCAAAATATCATAATATATATATATATAGAATATTGTTCATAATGGGATCAGTCAACTCAGTAGCTTTCCTTTTCCAAATTAATCAGACCATTCCTTGTGAAGAACTATCTCATTAAATTTAGCTCAAGAAGTATGGGTCACTGTTTGAAATGAGGTGTTATTATAGGGAATATGCTAGTAAATGTACATTTTAGGGTTTCTATTTATTTTAACATGGCTGGGACCTTTATTTACTGATTACACTTAAATGTAAGTGGACTATATGTAAAATAAATGGAGAAAGTGCTACTGTCAAATCTCATTTCAGACTTGTATTTTTATTTAATCTACACTTTGTAAGAGTTTCTAACATATGGATAAGCTTTGTATCATCTTCGTTTCACGTGTCTGTGCTAACATTAATTATCACTACATATACAAAGAGTAATTACCACAACATAAAATTAATCAGATAGTAAAAGGCCAAAGTTTCCCCAGGGTTTCTCTCTACTTCACTTTAGTTCTAGAAAATGTCACCTTATACTTGATAATTTGTTAGTGAAAAGCATAATTAGAAGATGTCATACTGAGCACTTTACTCACTGGTGACAGCTGTGCCACTCCCATGAGTAACGAGGTCTGCTGGGCAGAAAATCCGATGTGCCTTGATTTTTCACTCTTTGGGGGAATCTGAGGAGCACTCGATTGTCATAATCTCTAACATCTGCTCGATAAGCTGAACTGCAATGATGCAAATCAAAGAAAACAAAGGAAAAAGCCATAAGCATGTGCAATAAATACTTCCAAAAAAATGCCTTAGATTGTCCTAGAAGTAACTCATAACAGAGATCTTTTCAGACCCCATAAGCCTCATGCACTGGAGATTCATACAGGAATTCCATATCTTGTGGAAATGCCTGGTGTCAGACCAAGACCTGAGTACATTTCAGACCTGGTTTTAATTTTATAAATGGAAGTTTGACCACTGACTGACTCTCTCTAAGAAGAAGATCACTGCTGAGTTGTAAAATTACTCTGGTTACAAAAAACATAATTTTATTAGTTGCTGTTAACCAAAATAACTCCCTGTGTATGCAAGATCACACAACAGATGTTGATTCAATTGTTTTAAAAAAAAACCTAACATGTATATAAATCAGGCTATATTTTCTTATTCTACATAGCTATTATCTACACTCTTTTAAATATTGGGATATTTTAATCAACTAATATCTAGAAAGAACACTTCAATGAGTCTTCACTGTGATGCTAGCAAGAAAAAACCTGCTATGTCATATTTCTTTTTTCTGCAAGTGAAGAGCAAGCATGACCCTGAAACACAAATTAATGATGTTAATAAATAAATAAGTCTGTTTTGCATGATAAGGTATCAAACAAGTTAAAATGGCTAAAACCAGCCATGTTGATTTCTTTCCAAACAAAATAGGAAAAATCACTCTTTGCCAACTGGACAAGACCTAACTTCATAAAAAAGCTGTTATTTCAACCCCTTAAGAGACTCTGAAACACTTTTCAGAGGGATTTTAGTTTTAGGAGACTTTTAAAAGGCATAGACCCAGAAACAATTAGCTTACTATAATCTTAATAGTAAATTGTGTTGGTTAAGAATAGGGTTTTTGTTGTTCAGTTTTAGTTTTTTTTAAATGAAGTAACAATGGGACTTGTGGGAGTAGAGGAGGGAGATGAAAATCAACAGAATGAAGTCATTTTCTAGGTGCCTCCATTTCACAAAATTCAGAAATGTTCAAGTGAGCCTGGCAATAAAAACATGTAATACAAGTTTCCACAGGTTCTTCAGGAGATTTGTAGCTTTTTTCTCTAATATGGCAGGATTGCTTTCTGATGTGCATACTCTACCATCTGCCACAAATTTGGAACTAGATTACAAAAGGCTGTGTTTCCACAGCCTTCTAGCCTCACCCTTCTCCACTCTTCACCGCGTTCACAGGTGGAAACAGGAGCACAGCAACCCACAGCAAACGGGCAAAATCTCGGGACGATGCCTACCTTGCCAAGCAGTTCTCCTCGGCAGCACATCTCAAGTTATACATGGACATCCTCTGGACATATGTGGACGCCTGGATGTAATAGGGATCCGGGACTAAGTCAGGGAGACCTGCAGTTCATCAAACCAACCACACAACAGTAAGATCAACCCAGGTCACGTTTGCAAATATTTGACAACCATCCTAGTCGTTAGGAGCCGTCGATTTGCTAAGGACCCCTGCTCTCCGTTAACCTCTCAATCCCCTTTGCTCAGGCTTGTCCGAAACACCGCAAACACGACGTCCGGAGCCCCCGGTGGGCTTATCGGCAGCTCGCCCCCCTCCCAGACACTGGAACCAGGCTGCCCGCAGCCCGAGAGCCGGGCGAGCGCCTGCCCGGTCAGGTTTTGCCCCGCGCAAGGGCCAGGCGGGGCCGGCGACCCCCGCAGCTCATCCCGCCGGGACCGGCGTGCGCGCAGCAAGCGGATCCGGGGCCGGAGCCGCCGGCAGGGGAGGGACGGCACGGCACGGGTGGAAAGGAGGGCTCTTACCGTACTGGAAGTAGCCGGTGCCATAGCCGGGTCTATACCTGCTGCCCTGACGGGGTCTCTCGTAGGTGTCGTAGTAGTTGTAGTAGGGGTTATCGTCCGTGTACTTGTAGGGGTTGTAGGGGTCGTCTCCTACCATGACATCTTCCCGACCGGGCCTAAAGCTGCCCAGGGGCGGCAGGCTGCCGGCCCCGGTGCTGCTCCCGTTGTTATCGGTCCCGGTGCCGCCGGCGGCGGCGCTGGGTGGTGGCGCCCCCCAGGAGGCGCTCCGGGCCGCGGAGGTGGCGGCCGCTGGGCTCCGAGGCGCGGCAGCGGCGCGACCCCCGGAGGAAGCCTGGTAGCCAGCCTGGAACCAGTGCCGAGCTCCGGAGCTCCCCCGGCTGCCGGCGGCGGGCTGGGGCTGCGGCGGGGGCTGGACGGCGGCGGCGCGGGCGGCGGCTCTCCGCGGCAGCGCCGTGCCGTTGTTCCGCAGCAGCAGGATGGGGCTGCCCGCCGCCTCCCCCGCCTGCCTGCGCCGCGGGGGCTGGTACTGGGAGCCCAGGCTGAGCAGGCTGTACACCTGCCCGTTGTTCTCCCACTGGATCCGCTGCCTCCAGGCGGCGGGGGGCGGCGGGGGATCCCGGCGCGCCGGCTGCTGCTGGCAGCCGGCGGGCCAGAGGCAGCTCCAGTAGATGCACACGTGAAGCTGGGCGAGCAGGAACCCCGGCGGCGCGAAACGCATCTTCTCCGCTTTCGTGGGCGCCGGCGGGTAGCGAGACACGGGCGAAACCGGGAGGGGAGGGAGCGGGGGGCGGGAGCGAGAGAAGAGCGAGGGGCGCCTTTCCTGCTTGGTATGGAGCCGGGGGCGGTGCGGGACGGCCGAGGGGTGGAGGGCTGCGCCTCTGAAAGGGTCGGGCGGGCAGCGGGGTCTCAGGTGCTGCGGCGCCCGGGAAGTGCCATCGGGCAGGTCGGACCGTCGGAAAGGAAACTCGGCCCGGGGTAGGCGGCGAGAGCGGCTTTTCTTCTCCCTGGTATTTATAGGCGAGGGGATGCGAATGGGAGCCGGAGCAAACAATCAGCCTCTCATCGTCCTCCGGCCCGCGCTGGTGTCTGGAGCGAGGGAAGAAGGAGGAGGAGAGACCAGGGACTTTAAACTTGCTGGCACGCTCGCAAAGTTACACAAGCCCCGCTGGCTGGGCTGACTGCACCCCCGCCATTTGTTCACGTAATGCGGCTGGAAACGTGCGGCCCTGACAGTTCCCCCACGGCCGCCCCCCGCCCGCCCCGCGCGGGGGCGGCTCGGGCCGGCGCGGCGGTGGGGGCTCCCCATCCTCCCTCCCCGTCTGCCTCCCTCCTGCCCTGCCCTGCCCTGCCTCCCCCCGCGCCCCGAGCCGTGCCGAGCCTGCGGCGGGCGGGCGCGCTCAGACACACGTAGGTTGCCAGAGTATGCCGTGGGGCAGCGCCAAAGTATGCAAAGGAAAAATGCTATTAGCTCATCAGCGCTGGAGAGACTAGAAACGGGGTGGCGGGGAGGGGGAAGGGGCCGCTGGCGAGAGAGGAAACATGTTTCTGGAAAATGTACTGGCCGGCACATCTCCCGGGCTGGAGCAGCTGCTGGTAACCTTTGTCTCAGCGCTGAGTAACAGTCGGATCCCGTTGATGACCTCTTAATTAGAAGAAAACCTTCATCAAATAAACTCTTGACTATTGACTTTTGGGTTTTGTGCATATGAGTCACACGAGAAATATATTGGCGATGCTCCACTCGGAGTAAGTTTTCATTGAAAAGTGAAATTTCACATGGGAGAGGCTTAGCCCCATCACCAGAACAAATAAACCTAGACTGGGTAGTGTCTCCCCAAAATCGTGCTGGGGAAGAGGAGCAGACTGCGGCGCGAAAGCCTCTCCCTTCCTTCCTGCTTTTACAAGTTCATCAAGGCTGTGTTTTGATAAGTACTATCACCCAGTCCATGGATTTCAGCCAAAACTTCTTTTGGATGTATTTTTCCAAAGGCTGTTTGCTTATGAATCCTTGCAAAGGAATTGAGGGGAATACACAAAAGTTCTCCTTCACCAAAAGTTTTGTGGTGAGAATATTTAAGTGAATCCTGTCAATGATGATCTGTCTGGCTTGCTCAAGGTTTCCACCTTAGGTAGATTCAAGTCATCCAAGAACCACTGCCAGCTTCCCTGGGTCAGGTTAACAGACCACATGTTACTGGCCAGGTGGATATTGCAGCTGCATTTGGATGGTTTTGTACAGTTCTCCAGTCATTTGTTGTGTTGTAGTTTATTTTAATTGCATATTACTTTAAATGGTGTGCACTTCCAGCATTGTGGCTGTGATGGATGGTGAATGCTGACTTACACTGCTAAAGAATTAATAGTTGCAGTGCTCATCTTTAAAGTACTTTCACCACCCGGAAATTAGTGGTGCCACCCTGCATGTCAAAGGTCCACCCGTGGACTGGGGGTCATTAGCTCTGACTGGTGTTGGCACTGGCTGCTCACCACACCAGGCTTGCTGGCTGTGCTTTAACCATAAAAATGGTCAGTCTGCAGAACACTGAGGAGCACAGGGCACTTCTGCTCCAAAGACAGCGAAGTCTTCTTATCCGGAAAACATACCCAATAGCCAGGTGGGTGCTTGTTACCATTGCTAGATAGCACCAAGATGGTGGGAAGCATCTGCTGGAATGGGCCCCCTACCAGAAGAGTAACTGGTGTCAACAGGCAGGTTGTGTTAGTTTGGGCAGTCTGCTGCAGAGGTGGTCTGCTTTGGGTTCCCTTATTCATCGCATTTGCAGGTTGCTTATACCCTATGATCTTTCTCATTGTGTCTTTGAAAATATTATTCTCCATTTAAGGGTTTGCCTGGAATGATCAGTGACTCAAGCTGAGTAAAATGGAAAGGTTGAAGATAGGGAAAATGCAGCTCTGAAGGAATGAGATTTCTGTCTTTTTAATCTTCCTCTAAATCTTACTAATGTTACAAACAGCAGGTTGTTGCCCAATATGTGATATTAGACAATGTTTCCACACAGTGGGATTCCAGCCATTTTTTCATATGCCTGATTAAGTTACTATTTTTCATGAAACTAGAGAAAGCATATTTGAGGCTGATATTGTCACCCATCTATCAGCCATTCACACTGTTTGCCATTTTTTACATGCACAAGTTTCATTTTTTAATTAATTTAGGGTTCATAATGCCTGAAAAGCATTATTAGCATCACTAGAGTCATGTCCTTCCCTTAGTATTAGGTGCCTATGTCCATTTAACTACTTTCCTCTCTCCACAGGTTGCCTAATTGCACCAGGTTTTTCCATCATGGGTCTGAAAAGACCATCAAAATGCTCTGTGATCTCAGGTGTCGAGGTAGGATTTTAAGTCTGCAATACTTTAAAAAGACTCATAAGCAAATCAGGTACTGCAACTGCCTCAAAAACTGTCAAGCACTCTGGACTTAAACTTTCTTATGAGGTTGATACAGCTGCTTTGTAAAGTCCAGTTCTGGTAATGATCACAATTAATTTAGGTACTTAAGCATTTGCTTACCCCTTTCTTTTTTGTCTGGAATGACTGGTATGCCTGGGTATTTGTTGCACTAGGGATTTTGATTTCTGCCACCTATAGAAATAAATGCAATGTATATAAACTGAGATATAAAACCTTCCTTCACTAAAAAATGACACTAGTTAAAGCAGGTGTCATACATAAATGCGGTAATGTCTCAGAATCTGGTATCAGGTGGTAACTTGTATTTAAATTTACATTTAATTGTAAGGTTGTAGCAGTCCTCATTCAGATGTTACAAATAGAAGAATATCTACAATGGCATTAGTATCATTTGAAGTTACTTTAATGTGTACTACTACTGTTAAACTGCTAATTCAGTTGTGAATCTTGAAAATGGAAAAATATTAACCTGTTCACCACAAAAATCAACAAAAATACTCCAAACAGAACCAAAGGTATTTGAATTGGGCATGTCTTAATATATGTCCTAAGACACACATTTTAAGCTTTTTTAATCTTGTTATTTGATATGTGTATGAAAAAACTATGATAGTGTAAAAAAGAGGAAGCAATTTTAAATGTCAGTTTACATCAATCATATAATTTTTTACATTTAATGTTATTTTTAAAATATGAGCTCTGTAGTTACGGGCTGGATAATTTGTGTTCTTGTTTAGTCAAAAACTGATGAGGGTCACACACATAAACCAAGAAATAGAAATAATTTTATAAAATCCTAATAAGAAACTAGACAAACTTAATATTTGTTAAGTATATTTATAAACTGATATATTTTCTCTTGGGATTGAAGGGTTATTTGTTGAGGAGTCACTACAAGAAAAATCTTGAAAATAGGGTTTGGTTTTAACTTTTTCTACCTGGGAAATATTCAGTGTACTAAACTGATTTATGCTTGAATAGACAAAGAACTTCCTCTGATTCTTCAATTTGCATAACACTGAGTTGCAACTAGATGATTCAAATTTATCCTTTTTTTTGTAGATCTTATTTGCAATACTTTTTATAACTTGCCTTTTTTTTTGCATTCAAATATAAATTCTGTAATTCTGTTGCTCACCAGAACACTGTGGATTTTTATGAAGCATATTTTACAGCAGGTCCAGGTATCTTTATTTAGGAAGTCACTTGTCAATCCATTGGATTATAAAGTTCCTAATTTTAATGAATTCCCCTTAATAATTGGGATTAAAATGTAAAGGTATTCTTTGCAGTATGTGAACTTCTCTAGAAACTAAGAACACTGAGCACTTTCAGATTCATGTTTGTATTGAGATTTTTTTTTTTAACAAACCAACCTAATTAGAGGCAAGGGTTATAGACTTTTTCTGACATCGGTAGTCTTTGGAGCAGACAGCTAATTATTTTTACAAAAGTTAGCCTTCCAGTTAAATTTAGCTGCCCTTTCTATGTCTGATTTTGAAGTCTCTAATCAGGCAACTTTCCACTACCATAAGTAAAACACAAAAGTAAACTTTCAGACTTTTTTTCGGCTCTGAACTTATAGAGGAACAAATAGATTTTTGTTGATTCAATGAACTTGTCGATTTGTTGAAAAAGGAAAATTATTATAGTTTTATTAGTTCTCGATTCAAAATTAACAGCCAAAATGTTATCAGCCACCTGTACCTTATCTAATATTTTGGGTTTATCTATCTGCATTACAATACCAGTTTTTGGTTGCTTAGTTTTATGCACCATGGGTAGAACTGCTGAATTACAAATACCTGCACCAGATGAAATAAATTAATTGCACTTGTCTATCTCTTCAGGATCTGACAACTTGATCAGGAAAAGCAGCTACAGGATCTGAGACAGATGTTACTCTTTTCTTGCATGGTGAGGGCTGAAGACAAAGCCTTCTGCATTGACTTTATGTGTTCCATTTCTGTATATTTTTTCTAACCTTATTTGTTTTCTATCTTCCAAGATTTCTATAAAAGTGAGATTTTGAAAAACGTGAAATAAAGAGATAAATATGCAGTTACTGCAAATTTGTTCAGAGAGTTGAAAATCCACCAAAGCTTTTTCTTTTCTTATACATCAGCATCTGTAGTAAACCTTCCCTACCTATTGTCTATGTAGTATTCATTGCAGTGTTATATAAGTTGTCTGATGACACATACAAAGGAATAGAAGTCCAAGACACTCAAACTAAAGATCTATGCATTAACATCTGTGATAGGAACTAGAGTTAGCTTCATTTAGCAAGGTCAATAAAATTCAGATTAGATTAAACAGTGCATGGATAAACAGTGCCTTATTGCTTAGGGAGTTCAGTCCTGTATTGTCTCCACAAGCTGAGCAGGTGCTAAAGAACTGCCACCATTCAGGCACAAACACCTAATTTTATTAGGTGTTTAATTTTATTTAATTTCATTTTATTTTATTGAAACTTGTGGATACTAAGGAGAGGTTATTGTGAAAAACACAAACTGGCTGAACAGTTCTATACACAGGCACATCTTTGTTGTGGTAGTGCATAGTCTTTCCTTATGTATATTTTGCACAAAAGCAAGAAAACCCATCTAGTAAGCCTAAACTGAGGAAGGCTTGAGAGAATAATTAATTTTAAATTGAGACATTCACCAGGTTGAGATAATATATAAAGGGAGAGAAATGGATAGCTTTCCAAACCTCATTTTCCAATCCATCTTCAGCACGGGATAAGTGCCTGTAAATCATTAACAAAGGGGAACACTGCCCAACATAATGTAAGAACAGAAAATGTCAGCAGAAATTTTGGAATATGATTTTACTATGCATCTCATCAATAAAAATACTGGATGTTATTTTTTTTTAATAGTGATTTTGTCTTCATAACCATCCCCAGATTTGCATGGCCATCACAGGGACAGATGGCTTTATTTGTGAAACTTCAATGCCTGATGGAAGAATGCCAAAGAAAATTCCTGTTTCCAATCCCAATGTGAGTTTCCATAATTGATATTAGAAAAAAATTAGTGTTATACTGACAAGGCTCAATTAAAACACTGATCAGTATTGCCCTTCATTATGTGAATGTGAATGCATAAAAAGTGGGACACTGATGATGGTAAATAAAGAACTGGCAGAAGAACTCCTATGTCTAGGCTTTTAATTGTCTACTTTGTTTTCACTGGAGAATATGTACACAGTAACAACAAGCAACCCCCCTGCACCTTTGCATTAGAGAGAATGTTTAGAGGCATCAGGGACATTAGAAATAGAGTTTGCAGTTTGCATTCAAAAAGAAATGAGGGTAGAATTGAAACAGCTGAATGGTCCAACTTCTCCACAGTGAGATCTGCTTCTAGCAGGACACACGAACCTGACAAAAGTCATCTGGTAAGGGAGGCAGGCTCTGACTTGCGAGTTGTATTATGTCTCACGTTTGCAACTCAGTCTTGGTTACTAGCATGTTATTGACAAGAAAGTATTTGATATTATTAACACCTATTGTTTCTATTTTGCTTATCAAACATCTGTGTTCAGAAAGTTTTATGTGTAAACCCTGAAAAAGGTTTTCTGTGTGGATTACATAAACATATCCTCCTGTCAAGGATGATCTGTCAAGGCATGTGGATAACTGGGAGTTAATTAGAGGCAGCCAGCGTGGCTTCACCAAGGGCAAAATCCAAAGAGACCAGTAGTGCTCAGTAACTTTATTAATGACACAAGCAGTGGGGTTGAAGGCATCCTGAAAAGGTTTCTGACTGGTGTACTTTTCTGTGCTGGAGAGAAGGGGTACAACATGTACTTCCAGCCCAGAAAGCCAATAGGATCCTGGGCAATTCTGCTCCTCTGCTCTGTTGTCCTCAGATCCCACCAGGAGTACAGTGTCCAGTTCTGGGTTCCTCAGCACAGGAAAGACATGGACCTGTTGAAGCAGGTCCAGAGGAGGGACAAAAAAATGATCAGAGGTCTGGAAGACTTGCTTTTGAATAGAAGCTGAGACAGTTGATGTTGCTCAGCCTAGAGAGCAGAAGGCTCCAGGGAAATGATCTAGTCATAGTCTGTAGAGGTGGCTTGTAATGAAGTTGGAGGGAGGCTTCTTACTGAGGCCTGTACTGACAGAACAAGGAGGAATATTTTTAAACTGAAAGCAGGTAGATATAGGTTAGATACAAGGAAGAAAATTTTTTTACAGTGCTGATGGTGAGACATAGAAAGAGGCTGCCCAGAGAAGCTGTGGATGCTCCGTCGCTGGAAGCATTCAAAGACAGATTGGATGGGCTTGGAACAACCTGGTCTAGTTAAGATGTCCCTGCCCATATCAGAGCACTTGGAACTCAATGATCTTTGAAGGTCCCCTCCCATCCAAACCATTATATGAGTCTGTGAAAATAGACATACTCCAATCCTGAAACAAAGCATACATTCAACAGTAGAGATATGCCAGTTTTCCTAAAGTGATGGTCTGGACTGGTGAGTATTTCTTGGTTTCTGAGCATTTCTTTGTCTAGTCATAACTAATTAAACTATTTCAGGAAAATTGAAATAAGTAGTATCTAATTGACTAAGTCTTGGGAAAAACTGAATTTATTTATTTACCCTCCTTACAAGATGAAGAGAGCACTAAAACTATTGAGAAACTGTTTGTTGTTCATAGTCTCATCATATCAAATACATCATCTTGGTTCTGTTATCTTTCCTCTTTGTTTTTTTCCAATTGTTATGTCCCTTTTTCCCCAGGGCAGGGACCAAGTCTTCCTATGTGTCAGCTCAGTGATGCTCACAGTAGGGCACAGAGTCTATTAATTTTGGCCTCTGCTACAATATGAAGAGCAGTCCCAAATACAGAATGCTGCATTGAACAAATGCAACATTTAGAACATGTGAAAACTCTCATGCAGCTGTGTGTGTTATTGAACAGAGTTGACACTCGGCAATTATGACTCAAATAAAACACCCACGGTGGTTTTCACTTTGGTCTAAATTTCATCATAATATTTTGTCTTACATACCAATCTTATGAACTCTTTTACTATTCTGCTTTATAGTAGATCTTCTTTGAAATACATTCCTAATCTAATCCCTATTTTCATCCATGCATAATTATCAGATTTAACTTTAGATATTCTCAGTGATTGGGGAAAATTTTAGAAGTAAAACATTAAGTCATGCAGTTAAATTGAAAGGAATGTTTATAAAAATATGCTGAAGGTATATCGGGGCAATGACTGTAATATTTGCTTTACCAACTAAGAGTAGAAGAAAAGTGTATGCTTAGAAAGAACTTGTTTGACTTTAATGAGCTAAAATAAAGTTGACTTTTTTCCCTCACAGTGAACAGACTCAAGCAGCTCCTAATGGAAGCCCATTCTTTGAGGGAAAGCTCAGAATGTGTATGGTAGGCCAAGCTGATTCCACTGTGTTTATTCTGAGTTGAAGTCTCACATAGTAATTGGTTTAAACTGCTCTTATATATGTCATTTTAGAGCATTAAAGATTATCTCAACATTCCATGTCATGTAGTCAAACAGAAGTTCCTGTGCAAAAAGGTAGTTTATTCAAAAGTGCGTACATCCAGCTGTGCACTGTAGTGACAGAGGTGGCTGCTGCCTTTCACTGCGAAAGCAAAGCCCCTTCTCCATCTCTCCAGCTGACTCTTGTCTCCCTGTGCTGGGTCTGGGTGGTGTGATAGCAGCAGGTCAGGCGCTGGGCTGGCACTGCTGATGGACAGGCAATGGGCTGTGGGAGCACACAGACAGCACTGGTGCTACTCTGTAGCATTGAAAGCTCTGGGGGAAAGCTGTGGTTTCACACAGTGGCTGGGTTTGTATGAGTTATCTGTGTGGTGACATGAAAGCACAATACGAGGACATGAGATGGAGAAAAACAGGACCAATTACACCCCTTACTTATTCTCCCCAATAAATCTACAGTTAAACCGACTCTGTTGTTTCTTTTTGTCTAGTTTTACCATGGTAATTTCTTTCTGTACTTGCTCTTGTTTAACACAACTTTCTCTATGCATTTGTATATATAAGATTGCATCTAGTACAAGTACAATTTTGTGGCGTAGCTCGAACAAAATCAAATTCTTGGATCTACATAGACCATCAAAAAACCCACATAAAATCCTAACCTTCAGGAGGTTTTATACTTTCTATCACCTCCATCCTTTGTTAGGGGGAACTCAGGAGGGTGGCAACTGTTCTGCACCGTGGGGTGTCTTAAGAGTCATAGTATGATGGACTACACCTTTCAGCACAACAATGTGAAAGCGCTTTAGGGAGGTGTATCTACTCCAAGATTTTCTGCTTTTTCAAGTAGAAGTTACTGTGCCTGCTCCAGTGAAGTTGTTGTGGGGTAAACCAGAAAGAGTTTTTCCAAAGAGTAATGAGAAATCAATAATGAATACAAAAACCTTGACTTGGTGGCACTGTTTAACTCACTCTCATGGACCTCTCGAGGAATGAAGAGCAGAAACTAAGAAATTGCTATAGGGCTGCTGTAGGAATCATATCAGAAGAAGAGACAATGTCGAAAGACAGAATCTGATTAAGCATTGGCAGGTTTAAGAAGCAAAGATGCTACATGAGGAGAATGAATGTCTGGTTCCAGAAGCAGGTGTTTGCCCCACAGACACAAAAGGAATACAGTATGTCTGGATTCCCTTTAAAAGGTTTGTGTATAATACTGAGTTCTAGTGAAAAACTCCCATGGAAATTAATTGACTTACACCAGCATGAGACGTTGCAGCTGAGAGTAGAGCACTTAACATGTTTTTATGTGTCCTGTGATGGACTTTTAAAATAAAGTAAATTGTTCCAGGTATTGTATTTTCCACTTATTTCACAGAATTATAAAAGAATAAGCTGAGCTGGAAGGGACCCACAAAGATCAAGTCCAGCTCCTGGCCCCGCACAGGACACCCCAAGAGTCACACCATGTGCCTGAGAGCATTGCCCAAACACTTATTGAGCTCTATCAGGCTGGTGCTGTGACCAATTCCCTGGGGAGCCTCTTCCAGTGCCCAAACACCCTCTGGGTGAAGAACTTTTCCTGATAACCAAACCTTTCCTGACACAACTTCAGGCCGTTCCTTTGGGTCCTGTCACTGTCACCACAGAGAAGGGATCAGTGCCTGCCCCTCCTTTGCTCCTCCCAAGGAAGCTGCAGAACTGCAGTGAGGTCTCCCCTCAGTCTCCTCCAGGCTGAACCGACCAAGTGACCTCAGCCACTCCTCACACGGCTTCTCCTCAAGGGCTTCAAGGCCCTTCAGCACCCTTGTGGCCCTCCTTTGGGCACTGTCTAAGGGCTCAATGTCTTTCTTACATTGTGGTGCCCAAAGCTATTTATCATAGGTCTAGCTTTGGATTTGGCTTCTCATTAAAACTATAATGGTTAATAGCACAATTGTGGTGTAAAACCTTGGTTAATTTGAATTGAAATGTATAGGAAGTCAAATCAGAGCACAATCTAAAAGTCCTGAGTTACAAGGGCAAGATACTGTATTTATACTACTTGTCTTTCCATTATTACTGCACTCTCCTTGCAGGTTAGTATTTGTCAAAGACTGAAAACCAGCAAGAAGAAACTTTGGTTTGCATCATGTCATGAAAGATTCAAAAGCATGTTACAGAAATATATCCCATGACTGATCTTTGCACAACACTGAGGAAGAGCATGTTAACTCTGTTGAAGTAACGTAAATGAGCAGTGTTGGACAGAAATAAAATGAAATATCCTTTTATAGTAATCCCTGGAGAAATCTGTAAGTAAGATTATATGTGTTAGAATTTGGATTTACAAAATTTCAAAGCCAAGAAGGACCTGTCAGGACAGTCTGATCTTCTGCATAACACAGGCAGTGGAATTTCACCCAGCAATTTCTTCATAAAGATCATAATTATCTGAACTAAGATACCTTTTTTAGAAAGACGGTCTTGGATTAAAGAGGCCAAATGATAGGGAGCACACCACATCCCAAAGTCAGCTGATGCAATACTTTCTTCCCTTCCCTACAAAACATAACAAAGTGTTCCTTGTTTGTAATTCGAATTTAACACCTTCACTGAAGTTATCATTCAGGACAGCATCTGTACTAAGAAAATATCTGTTAACACAAGCATGAATAAAAATGTTTTAAGC